GACTGTGACTAGCTGGGCTTCGTTGTGTCCCCAGCAGCACGTACGCTTGCGCTGTGTATTTGAGGTGTGGTAGCGATGAAGCAACAAGTGCAGCCAAAAGATTGCGCCCGCCGCACACATCTCAGTCACAGGCGTGCTTATCGCGTGCTGTGAAGAGGGTCACGTACACATCACGGGAGGGTAAGCACACCCATGCAGTCAAGAGTCAATGAAGGATCCAAGCGCGCATGCAAGTTGAGTCCAAAGCTGATGATGATGGCTGCATGGTTTGCTGATGGATCGTGCGTGCATGAATTCGATCGACGTGCATTGATCACGAATGAAATCATCTGAAGTCGAATGGATGCCGCCTGTAGCTGTCATGATCCTGAGAGAAGCCGCGAGTCTCGCACCAAGGTTCATCTTGAACCCCGTCGCGTGCAGTGTGAAGGCGGTCTGGGAGTTCGGAACACGGCTTAGGCCTCACGGCTGTGGACAGGCCACACCACACACACGCACACACGCACACGCGCACACGCGCACACACGCACACACGCACACACGCACACACGCACACACACACGCAACAAGTCTCATTCGTGATTGTCCTATGAAGGTGTCGCCCACATCCAACTTCAATGTGAGTGTCAATGGCGCACCAACAGGCGAGCGAGCAGCTGCTTGGAACACTCACGATCGCATATATGGCGTCGCAGCATCACAACTTTCTGCGTACATCGCACTTTATGTGTGGCGGATGCCAAGGACAAACTGAATTTGCAGCTAGGCGCGATCTATAGTTTTGAGTGCATGTAAGTCACGAGTCGCGTGAGTCAAGAACAGTGGCAGTCAAGAGTGTTGAGTGTTGAGTCGTTGCTAGTCAAGAGTTGTATGAGCGTGATGCGCCGATGGACAAATGTGAATGGTGAATAATTGCCACTCGTTTGAGTAGACACTCCAAAGTTCCGGTCTCCTCACGACTCATTCAGACTTGTCTCATGTCCGACAAAGGCACGCCGCCGCACGCACGGGGCCGCGGGATGCTGCATGTGGGCCGCCGTTATGGAAGCCCACGCCTTCAATTCATATAGGCTTCACCGTCAGCAAGGACAACACGCTCGGACTCGAAAGTGTTGTGCTAGTCACAGTTTAATTGAGACAAGGAGGAGTGGATTTGAGGAGATCACTTTTGAGTTTCTGTATATTTGTCATGACAAAGACCGAAAATTGACAGCAGCTGCTTGACTGCGGTGCCCTAGCTAGCTCACTGCGTGGGGTTGCCGGTGGCTGAGTATGCGCTGCGGCCACAGCGACCCTCTTTTAAGGATGTCAGCTGAGCGCTTGCTTCATTCACATTCGCAGCACCTTGTATGTAACACGTCTCGTCCTTCCCTCAAACAACCAAATTCCCAAGAGAAGGTCATCGAGCGCACGCGGCCGTGTTTGAACGCAAGCGTCGATCGA